GCGCTCCTGGTGCGCTGCACAGCACTTCCGGTTGCACCGCACTTCCGGTTGCAGAACACCAGAGCCAAGGGCGCCTTCCTTGGAAGGCAGTGTTTTACGTTCTGCTTTGGGTGGCATAAAAACTAATGAATGGGAGTTAGTTCTGTTAATTTGTGTATACCATCTTGAATGTTTGGACATTTCATAAGTATTTAGCAAAAAAAAAAAGTTTAAAGATTCATGATATGGATTCCAGCTCAATAAAGATGAAAAATGGTCTAGCTACCCTGCCCCACGTCTGCTCTGCCCCACATCTACGTTTTACTGCCGGCTGTGGAAAAGACCAACGGTACTGAGGATAAATGGAGGATAAATGGATTATCAAGAAAATCAATCCTCAAGGAGAGTTTAACAGAAATGGGAAAAAAAAAATAAAAAACCCTCTCTTTTGTGTTTCCCATCGTCTAAGAGCCGTCTTTACAGGCATCCAGCGGAATACAGTCCGCTTCATTTTCCCTGACTCATGCCCTATCCTGCAATTGTCAATGAATGTCAGCAAAACAATGAAAACCTAAATTTTTCTGCCAGCTAGCCTGTTACTGTCGTTTTAAGTAAAATTTACTCCGAATAGGCAATAATGCTATTTAGTGGTTTTCAAAGGACTTATTCAACAGTCACAACCTAAGATGTAATTGTTATTATATCTGAGAGGAAAGGAAGTCAGAATTTCATCTGAACATAAGACAGATTGGCTCATGTCACAGAGCTAGTGAAGTGGCAGCCCTGAGATTTGAGCCCTATTTCCTGCCTCAAGATCTTCTAGTAAGCTCCAAGGGGCTCCCAGAGTTCCTTGAGTGGCCCTTTTCTAATCTGTGCTTTTATAGTTAATTTAGTTCTTAGCAGAGTTACCTAGTCCTCGAGCTGAAACCTTCTGTCCTATCAGAAGCTACTGTTCTTTCACTATTTTTGAGCATAAACTATGTGTCAGGCACGGTTCTGACCAGTTCATGTAAATCAGTGAACAAAACAGTTTCTGCCTTTGTGGAACTTAGATTCTTGTGAGAAGACTTAAAAAAAAAAAAGTTAAAAGGTGATCTGTGCTGGGCACCTGTGTGGTGCAGTCAGTTAAGCACACCAGACTCTTGATTTCAGCGCAGCTCCTGATCTCAGGGTCATGAGGTTGAGCCCCACGCTGAGCACAGAGTCTGCTTGTTGCTTCTCCTTCTCCCTCTGCCCCTCTCCTCCTCCATCACTCCCCCATCCCCCTGTTTGCATGTGCACGTGCTCTCTCTCTCAAACAAATAAATATATCTTTAAAAAAAAAAAAGGTGATCTGCGTTAAGTGAAGAAACAAGCATGGTAGGAATGACTGGGAGAGTGGCAAGTAGGTGCAGGTTGCTGAAATACTTAAGAGGGGGCTCAGGGGGGTCCTGAGATGACAGCAGAACAAAGATTTGGAGAGAGTTAGCTAATGCCAGCCCCTAAAATACAGCCTGTTACTTTTAGCCTCTGAACACCCAGCAAGAGGTAATCAGCACGCTTTCACTGAATGATCTGAGGTAACCTTGAACCTACTTAGAAGTGTAAAAATAGAAAATGCACTTCAACGCTCCACCCAAGATCTCAAGATCATTTTATTCAAGTTTTAGGTGCTTAAGTACCTCTCAGCCAAAATCATAAAGATCTTAGATAAACACCCTGCCAGGCTGAAAACAGAACTGTCAAAACAAACTGTCCAACACGCTGTTGGTCACACACCAACCAGAATTTAGGGCTTGTTGAAACAATGGCATATTGAATTGTCACCTGACTACTTCTAGGGGTGATCACTTCCTGCTGCATCAAATATGGAGAATAATCTGCACGTATATTTATGAAGTACCGAAGTGTCCATAACTGTAATAATAGAAAGTGGGAAAAAATGGTCCTATGACCTAACAGGCCAATCAGGCTCACATCACCACAGCCTCTCACAGCCTTTGAGACAGGGACTCTTTGGTGTTTCTGGAGTTTTTGTTGTTGTTGTTTTTAAGCATGTACCAAAGTGAGAAAAACAAGCTCCATAGCCGTGTGCTACAGGCCAGAGCTGACCAAACTTCACACCTAACACAGTAATATCGAGGTAAACAGAAGGGCTGGTGAGGAGGTGGGTGGCAGGCAAGAGATAGGAAGGAAATAGGTGGTTACTCAGGGTTGCACTGAAGTGACAACGTGGACTTAGAGCCACCCCAGGCCAAAATGGGCCAGTTTCTGAAAATAATTGGTGGTTTCATGCAGGGGATAAAAAAACAAACAAAAAAACACGAAACAACTATGAATGCTTGGAGCGTGTTCAAATCTGTCAGAGTAAAAAAGATCCAAAAGAAAACACAGCTAGGAATAGTTGATTAAGTTCTGTGAACACTGGATGGAATCAATGTATCAACTCGTTTATTTTCCAGAAGTGACTGAATTTGTTCTTTACAGCTGACTTGCGCCGTATCCATGTCATACCATACCTACATTTGCTTAATGATAAAAAGACAATGTCAAACTGCTTAATAAATGTAACATTTCCATAGCAACCGGCAATAAAATATCGTGTTCGAAGGGTCACTGTAACAGAGGACTGTGCACCACCCACTTTGGGGAGCACCGCTCACACTTGGCCATGAAGGCATAACCAGGAGTGGCCCAAGGCAGTGCACGTGCTTGCCTAGCTACCCCTGTGCTTTTAAGTGCACAGTGCTTTAAAGGAAGAGAACGATTCTGCATGGAGCCAGAAAAAATGGAATAAAGCAGTACAGTCTGCCAGCCCAAAGTGGCATTTTTTCTCGTTGTCACCCACACAGAGCTGTACTGGGGCATGCTGTCTGGATGACACAGGTGTTGTCTCTCTTGATGGGGGGGAACAAACTTCAATTTTTTTTTTTTTTTAAACTTAGGAGTAGCACCATATGTTTTGTCCACTGGGAAACCTGAGACAGTGAGAGAAGGAACCATCAATCAATCAGTCAGGACAAATGTGCATGAAGCAAGGCTATCCTTGGGAAGCCGACATCTAGGCTCACCCAACATACTAGTATTTGAGATCGTTCTACCAGAATACAGCAAAGGACTCACTCATCTCTGCTGCTGAGTCATACTGGCCTCCAAGGCAAGAATGGGCTTTCTGACACATCATTCAACCTTGGTCTCCAGAAGGATGGATCAGGGCAAGTCAATCTTACCTGGCACATGAGGCCAAGGTTAATGAAAAGACATTTCCTAAAGTGTTTTTAGTTCAAGACTGACACAATTGCCTGAGGCTACAGAGCAGCTTTAAAGCTTCACTAGCAGGAAACACAGGAGACACACTTGGGAGATACTGTTCACGAAAGAGCATCAGACCGAAATTACAGCACTCAAGTATCTGGTCTGGCTCTGAACTTAGCTAGGTTATTCAATTTCATGGGGACACCTGGGTGGCTCAGTCGGTTAAGCGTCTGCCTTCGGCTCAGGTCAGGATCCCAGGGTCCTGGAATCACGCCCCGCATCGGGCTCCCTGCTCGGCGGGAGGCCTACTTCTCCCTCTCCCGCTCCCCCTGCTTGTGTTCCCTCTCTCTGACAAATAAATAAAATCTTAAAAAAAAAAAAAAAAAGTTATTCAACTTTATGGACCTATAGAATCAGAAGACTGGTCTAAAATGGCATGAAATGTCCCACCCAAGGAGCAATTTTCCCCACCAGGAATATCCAGAGATGAGGAGGACTGAAATAAAAGGCCACCTCGGGGAGAACCTCCAAACTTAACTACTTTGGTTGAGCAATGGCCCAAGTCTCCTGCGCTACAGGGACTGTCTGCAATGTGTACAGAGAGCTGGGATCTGCCATGTATTTGTTAGCTTTTAAACATTCACCTAATCTCATCCCTAGCTAGTGGGTTAGGTCTGTTTGTTTCAAAATACAATTTGTATCATAATTCAAATATGAGCTCCCAGTTGACTTTATCAGAAACAACATCCTGATGTTTTTCTGTCCATACTGACACGTGTTCATTTTTAAGGCTTTGATGTCAAAATCCAAATTCCTGTGAGCTTTCCATAATTCTCTGCGTGTTGTGCTTGTGGGGCTTGGGCTTCTTCCTTTTCTCTCAATCCTGACTTAACTTTCTCAGTCAGTGCAGTGGGCAGGGTTTGGTGGTGGTTGGAATCCTGCCATGGATCTTTTGTAACCACCTATTTCTATCCATCTGGTGACTGTGATATAATCCATAAAAGTCTAGAGATAGACACCATCTGGACACATGGCTGCAAGAGATGAAAGAGGATTAGAGATGGCCTTTAGGGTTAAAAAAAAAGGACTTTCTACTACTTCCTTGGTTTTTCATTGTCTCATAACTTTGCACCCTCACTGCCCACCCACATTTTGGTTCCAAATGAATGAATGAGAGACTCTCATATGGTCAGGAGACATCAAGCTTGTTCTGATCCCAGGAGCCTTACCTATGTGCCATTTGCTACTCTGCAACATGGTGGCCTCACAATGACCAAGACGTGACAGAGAGAATAGGTCTGGTTGGGACTCAGAACAAAACCGGGGACAGAGAGCAATGCCTCTGCACCTTCGGCGTGCAGCAGAATCAGGAAGAGCTGGTGAACAACACAGACTCCTACGCTGAGATTCTGAGTCAGCTAACTCTGGGACGAGGCCTAGACATCTGCACTTTTAATAAGCACACCCCCACCTTACCCCTTATAGTCTCACCCAGGCAGCGTTCCATCTTCAGCTTTGAGAAATGCATAAAGCAATGACAAAGCCTTACCTGTGGAGCCGAAAAATCACACACACACATCACCCACACCGCGGGCACGCTCCCCCACCACACTGACCTCTCAATAGCAGCTCCTGGCCAGGAAAGAGCTAAGTAAACCTGTCTACGTCTGACCATGCGCAAACATTCATTTCCAACAGCCACCCTCACTCGAGCTTTTCTGCTCAGAGTCCACACGCCATCTCTTCACAGGTACGGTCAAAAAAAGCAACATCTCTGAACTCATGGCTGGTTTTCAAGGTATGCAATTATTTTATTTCCTTGGCCTGACAGCACAAACTTCATTACACAAGAATCTGCAGCTGAGAGAACAGACACAGATTTCTCCCACAGGAAGGACCCTTTTCATTAGCAGAGATGAACTGAAATGTCATGTCTGAGTGCGATGCCTGCTCCCCACGCCCGCCCACAAAATCCCCAAAGTGAAAATAATCAGAATCCATAGAATCCCCATGAAGTATTAAGTCATCCCCTCAAACCTGTTTAACTAGCAGCTGCAGTACATGAAAACCTAAGTCAGGAGGCAGCTGGTCATCACTTAGCAGATCTGTGTGCCTGGGACCGAAGGGGCAGCAACAGGGAGCAAGAATCCTGGCTGAGTGGGAGGCGCAGACGATCTGTCTCACCTCGTACCTGCCCCTTCCGTATATAAGACATCTCCGTCCCTACACGTGGAGCAAAGTTTGGGAAGTGCTGGAGGAGTGGTTTTATAGCCCGTAATTGGAAACGGTTGTGGCTCACTGAAGTCCCACGCAGGTGTGGGATAAGGGGCACCAGAGAGAGAGCAGGTTAGACAGAGATGCTCGGCTTAGTCAATTCCAGTTTAATGCTACCAAAACTATCTTCAAAACCACACCATCCCTCATGCCTGGCCCCTGTCTTCTTCCAGTGGTGAGAGAGCTCCATCTCAATGTCGGCCTGATGTCAATCAACCAGCACCACTGGGTGGTGCTGTGATGTCTCGGGATGCATGTGGGATTATGACAGGGATGGGGAGGAGTGGAGACAGGCCGGGGTCACAATGCTTTAATTACAATGGGCTTCCTTTGGTCCCTAGGAATGAAAAGCCAGAAAGTAGTCCTAAAACACCCTCATCCCCTTTCCCTACCTGTCTTGTGCAAACGTCAAAAATAGAATCTCTGCCCGAAGAGGAAAGAGAGCAGGAAGTTACTGGTGGTCCACAATCATCTCTGGCCCCAACTTGCCCGCCTCCTGCCTCTTCCGTGAAGTCACACAAAAACCAATTCACAGAAATGTTGTGAAATTAAATCGTCTTCATTCCTCTATCAAAGCCAATCCAACGCCTCTGTCCTGACATACTTTCTCCCTGGGCTGAGGAAGCAGCAGAAAATATCAACTGAGCGTGTGAAAATATGATGACGGTGTGTGCAGTGTAGTGTTTCCAGATGTCTTCCCCTTCTGTCTCCTCCACGGTGGGAGCCCTCCCTCTCTTTCCCCAAGTCCCACACACACCCCTCCCCCTACCCCGAGTCCAGGTGCTCCCATCTGCTGGGCTTCCAACACTCACTTCCCATAGACACTCTCGTCACTGTAGGCCACATACAGAAAATAGTCTTCCTCATGGTTGTCCTGAGGGAAGAGACAAGAGGAAAACATCACATTCATTATCTTCAGGATTCTGAGCCTCACACAACGTAGGTAGGTATGCAAGGCATCAGAAGTGACAGGAATTCAACTTTTGAGTTCACAAAAAATCTTCAAAGAGAACATCCACACATATAGATAACCAGGGATAAGAACATGACCCTTAAAAAAGCTCATTCTAGCAAGAGGAACACACATACAAAAAATAACATACACTACAATATCCACTAGCAGGGATTATAGGCTATGGAATAAAAATGAGATTAAGAGATTGTTAGAAGAAGTTTACACAACTCACAGGGCAAAATAAGAAGGCAATACCATGTGAAATCCTTTAAGGAATAATACAACCATAAAATTGGGTGACACAGCATGAGCAAGTCCTTTACAAGAGTTTTCTCATTAGATCCTGACAGTTTACCAATTAAACCAAATGAAGTCAGCAAATTACTCTCTCCAACTGAGTTTATCAATTAAGACAAATGAATCAATTGAAAGGCTTTACCCTGTAAATTTAAATTGCATTCTACTTGGAATTTGCAATCAGAAACAATTTCTTGCTGTTTCAATAAAGACAATCCAAGATTAGAACCCTAGAAGGCAAAACTGAGAATTCAAGAAGAATGAATCTAGTAAGCTGCTCAATCCCTAGAGGCCGAGTGACATTTTAACTGCCCAGAGCCTTACACCGGGATGTGTAAGGGGATACAGGGAAGTAACACCTCTTGCCCCACTTCCCAGGTGTGTTATCAACAGACCCCGGAACAAAGGCTAGAGAACACGAGACCGCATGGTGTTGTTGTGACCAGGACACTTACCTCATACAGCTGGCCCATGGTAGCGCTAGTGGGAGGGATAGTGTTGTTGACAAAGAAGAACAAGGCGTCCTCGGGCCTCAGGTGGATCCTCTTCCGGATTAGGAAGTAGAACTGGCCAACTGGATAAAGGAAGGTTTTAGAAAAGGAAGACGATTAGGAAAAACAAGGCGGGGGGGGAAGACCCAGAAAACAAAACAGAACGAAACAAAACCTCTACTGCACCTGCTTTAAATAAAATCTCAGCAGAGCCAAATACTGTCCTATAGCTTTAGAAATAGAATGTGCAACTCAAAGAAGCCTCCATATTCCCTGACATGCCACTGAGAAGCTTATTCTTCAATCCTTTCCCACTGTACTCAATTTTCAGACATACTGTTAGCATCCCCACTCAAAGCTTGAGGACGACTTTGAGGGAATCCTATGTACATCCAGACCAAAATACTCTCTAATTGTTGTCTAAATGGCATCTGAAATGCACTTCCATCCCCATTCCCACCTTATGACAAACACGTGACGGGGACAGGTCTACTGGACTCCAGTAATCTCAGCATGGTCGCTCATCCCAAAGTCTGGGCAGTAAGTGGGGTTCAACGCTGCACCTTCTACCAAACATACTGAAAAAGTTCTAGAAGACTGATATTCAAATCTAACAACCCTGGGGCAAATACGTCTACAAAATCTTTGCAGTGTGTTTCTGGATTCCTGGTTATTCCAGTAACGATCATTAAGGTGAACAATATATTCTTTGTAATCCCAAACAGTATCTACAAAACGTATTACCAAATATGAGGAGACAAAGTATTCAGCTGCGAATCTCTAAAACGTAATCTGCCCTCTGACTTTCCTTTTGGAATAAACTGATATCACAATAACAAAGCAGATTCTAAGTAGTTTAAAACACAGACATCTGGCCATTGCTTTCAATGTTGTGCATTCTGCTGTGTCTAAATCACACAAGGCGTTGTGATGGGAAATGCATGAGGGAACTGGCAATGGAGAAGAACGGCTGAGTCACTCCGGTCTGCATTCCACCCCACCCCCACCCCCCCACCCCCCCACCCCCCGCTCTCTGGAGAATCCCACCCACTTTCTTCAACTCTACTTCCTCTCAATCCCACAATCCCATGCACACAGGAGGTACGAAAGAGGCTCCAGGATGGGAAAGAGGGCCTGCGGAGGGAAAAAGCATTACCTGTGAGATCAGAGGGCACCAGGTACTTCCTCTTGTCCAGATCAGGCACCCTGGCCTTAGGAGCCTTCTCCACAATCACCTGGGAGGGAGGAAAGTGAGGATGAAAAATAAAGAATCTAATCTAGTATTTTTCCTTCCACATCCTACGGTTGCCCTATTTGAAGTGCATTTGTCTAGACCCATTAAAATGTTCCCATTTCTCATTCTCCTTTACCTCTTACAAAACCTGTGGGAACATGGGCTTCCTGAGTAAGATTACAGTTCTCTTACTGCAACAAGAAGAGAATGGAGGGCATGTGACGAAAAGTAAAGAGAACCTTGAGTTTAAGTAATTACAAGTTACCTGTCAGGTATAGGATCTATACTTCCTTGTATTTAATGAGAGCATCAAGAGGACTGTGCATTGAGCAGGACTTGAGGCTTGAAGCTTTTAAATGAAAGGGAACACATTAAAATAGTGAAAAACATTATTTTGTGTTTCTGGAGAAAAAGAATCCTTAACCAGGAAGATCAGAGGGGCATGATCCCACTAAAAACTTAAAAATGAAAAATGGAGAAAAAAATGTGAATCAGAAATTTAAAAGAAAAAGTAGGAAGAGGTTCAGGGAGAGACCAGTGAAGGCCCAACAACGAGGATGGACAGGAGGCAGCAAGTTAATAAAATCAAAGGGAAAGAGAGAGAGCCTAGCACTGTGTCTCAAAGGAACCCTGGGAGCTGCCAGCTCCCATCAGTCATAAGTGATGGAAACCACAAAAAGAGAGCAGAAAAAGAGGGCAATAAAACATACTGCAGATAAAACATCCAGACAGGACCGCAGGCTTTGGAGGAGGAACGGGGGGGGGCCATGGGGGAGTTGGGTAATCATTAAGGCCTTGGCTTACCAGAAAATATTTTAGGTTTCCAAGAATCCCAACTCTACTCGTGGGCCCTAGGTAAGATGCTTTTCCTCTATGGTGCTCAGGTTTGTTTTTTTTTTTTTGTGCAATGTGGCCCATATTCCACAGGGCCTTTTACAAAGTTTAAGCCTAGACAATCCGTTCCTACCCGCAATGTTGCAGGTTTTCAATACATTGTAGCTATCAAGATACTTTAATATCTCAAGAAACCCTCCCCTCTCGAGGTATGACACATCTATTCTTCTGGATGGTAGCTAAGAGATAAGGTGGGGCCAAACTAAAACTGAGTTATGTGAGCAGTCAGGGTACTTGATTGCATTGGTAACACCAATGGTCCAGCTGGAAGGGGCTTCAGAAATCACTTACACCAACCCTTTTTTGTAAACTGGACACTTCAGGACATCAAGATTAAGAAGCCTGCCCAGACCTAGAACAAAATCTCACAACTCAGAGAGCAGAGCTCTTCTTCCTATGTCACAACTACAAAGGTCACAGGCTGAGCACCTGATGAGCAGTTGGGAGGCTTAGTTTCTGGTTAAAACCCAACTGGAGGAACCATGAGATCTGACTGATGGTTCTAACAGCTTACAAATTATCACAGAGGTAAAACATTTTTTCTTACATCAAACAATGAGCAGGAGAATAGGGAGGATGAGTTGAAATATTCTGGGTGAATGCATGTAAATGGCTGAAACGGGAAGGGCTTAGTTTTGAAGAAATACCTGGGAATTTTAACTAGATTTAGGAACAGGTACATTTCAGAGTTTGTGACTGAGGCAGAGCTACTGCGACAGAGCCTCAGACTTAGAGTTCTGAGTAAAAGGTAGTCACTGATGCTGTCTAGCATCATACGGCTCTGACCTTTTGAAGGCCACGATGTTTTTTCTTGGTTTCCAATACCTAACAGTGTGAGGTACACAGTGCCTCCTTAATCGTTTAATAGAACTGTATTAGAAACTGAGAAACAATATGGCATGGAGGATCCAACAACCAGAGTTCGAATCTCAGCTCTGCCACACACCAGCCACAGGAAACCTTTAGGAATACTTCATTTCTCCGTGCTACATCTGTAAAACGGGATTATAATGGTGTGAGGATTAAGTGAATAAAGTCAGAGCATGTACAATACTGCCAGATACAGAGTAAACTATCAATCAATGAAAGTTGACATTTTTAAATATTCTAAGCAAGCAGGACTGCTATCAGCACAATTGGGGGAAACTTTTGAAGCAGTCACCCAAGGTCCAGAGACTAAACACGTAATTTGCAAAGGATCATTAACTGGGTGAGTAACAGAGCTAGCTCTCCTTTTTAGCCGAACACCCTTGTGTGCAATTCCAGGTGAATGGAACAGCCCTAAGGTCTTCTTGCTTCCTTATGAAGGACTGCACGGGGTTTCTACTGCGGGCATAAAGCCCAAGATGCTTCCAGTAGCCGTAACACGATGAAAATTGGGTAAGGATTGAAGAGTCCCAAAGGGTACCTGCGGGTCAAGAACTGACACCAGATAATCACAATTACTTTACCTGTACATAATATGTAATGTTTATCCTAATATCCCTGCCTGAAGATAGCACAATCTGAAAGTCTCTGCTCTTCCATTTCCAAAACGCAAGGGCTGTTGTTCCCCCTACCACACTCAAAAGTCTTCTGCCTTCCAATCCAGCTGCGCAGCCTACATTACAGAAAAACCAGGCAAGTGGCGGGGGAGGGGGTGACGGAAAAAGCGCCCGGATGCAGAAAGCTACCTTAATGTTTCCTCTGTATCTTCTGACTGCAGGCACTAATTTTAACCACATAAACCAGCTTCCAAAACGGAAAGAAAAAGGCCTCACTCCTTCATCATTTTGTACAGGTACAATGTGATCGAGTAAGTACCGGTGGGAGACGCGCTGCATCCATAAATGCCCCTGGAGCCAAGAAGGATGAGGCAATCGGGCTGTTGCGCAGAGAACGTGACCTTGTTTTCTGGGCCAGACCTGTCTTGTGGCGCCCCCTCCCCTCCCCCCCAACACACACACGCTTTTCTACTTCTTATGGACTAAAGAAAGGATCCATTGGTTTCTGAACCCTTCCCTCCCAAACCCAATGTTACGAGGGCCAAAGTCGACTTAAGGGAGAAGCACCTAAAACAGAAATCGATGGACGCAAACCTCATTGCATCAAGTTATTTCCAGAACAATTTCCCTGGGATCTTAAAGGGAACAAATGTAGGGTCCCAACCTGATCCTTCTCTCACGAAAGGGCCACATTTTGAACACCTACACATCCTCTGAATACTGCTGAGTCACTCAAACGTAGGCTCCGCTCTAAAGATGCGGTCAGTTGTAAAGATGACGGGCCCTGGGGAGATGGGTTTTAAAAGATCTGCAGTGAGAACGTCCATTCCATTGGCTGTCCTAGCAGTGAAGGGCGTTCAGGGCTCAGTCATCATTGAGACCACCCTTCTTCGGTACCTAAGGGCAGCCATCACGACGCCCCCGTTTCCCCCCACCCCCGCTAACCCCCTTCCCTCCCCCTCCCCGTTCCCCATTACACTCACAGGGACCCTGTCCGGATATTTCTTCCGGATCTTTTCTCCTTCCTTTTTCCGATACTCAAAGGGATGGTCCTCCTTATACTGGAACTTCATGATGGACCGCAGGGTTTCTAAGATCCCCGGACGGGGCCTGCCTTCCTCGCTGATGGTTGCGTCTCTCCCGTCTCCCTTCCCTCTGCCAAATTTCAATAGGTATCAGAACCGCCCCAGAAATGTCAGCTCCCGTCGCAACGCAGCTTGGCAGAGCCTTCCGAAGGGATGTTGTGTCCCCTCGGACGCAGGACAGAGTGGATCGGGTAGAGAAATCCCAGCGGCTTTTCCCGAGAGCTGGAAGCACAAAAACAACACGGCAGCGCGTTGGTATTGTGACGTCATGACGTCCCGCCTCCCCACCCCGCCCCCCAGCGTTTGGACCGCTCCGGGTGGGGGGAAGGGCGGAACACGATCTATTTTCGAGGAGTTCTCTTTTAATCTAAACTTTCCTGAGCAGAGTTTGTTACAGACATGAAAATTTTTGACTTCGAATTTTATTGTGGCTGTGACATTAAAAATGGTTTGAATGCAAAAAATACGTTCTAAAGATATCTTCTTCCCTCTTTCTCGCTGTTTCTTGGTTTGATCCAAAAACAAACACAGAGGGCGAATATCCAGCTTTTTCCAGCTTATTGGGATCTGGAGTCTAGGGAAGGAAAGAATGGGGGTCCTGGAATTCTTTTGGTCAGTACAGAAATGAGCGGTGCTTGCATTTTGCCCTTTGCGCCTTCAGTTGCGCCGCCAGCTCTCGGGGTGCTAGGCGGGCTCCCTCCGACCCTGACCCCTCCTTCACCACGCTGGCGTCATTTTGTTTAGGTCCTTGTCGCAGTTTGCTCCTAGAGCGGCGGCATAAACAAAGCATGACTCAGGAATTTGAGGAGATGATGTATAAGGTGAAGGGCAAGCGATGTAATCAAGGTCCAGAGAAGTGCCGTCAGTCAGGACTGCTAAGGGCTTCGCTCATGTTCCAGTATAGAAATGATTCACTTTCCCCTGTTTAACTCAGAAGTTGGGCCTGTCTTCCGTAAACGAAAATATCAAGCAATTCAGGTGGTTAACTCAATACTTCTTAAACATTTCTGTTTTTATTCTGCAAAAATTCACCAGAGGATAGTATTTCTTGTTAAGTGTCCCTAAGGTGAAAATAAAGTGCCCCCCGGAAGGGCTGATGGAAGAAGACTGGTGGGCTAAGTGCCATTGTCGCCTCCCTCCGGCCCTCCCCTTTCCCCACTAAGAATCAAAGGACTGAGGCCTTTCCAGCCACTGCTAATGGCAGGAATTCCAGGGACTTGTAGGGGGAAGGCAGCGAAAACTGTAAATGATACAGAAGAGAAGAGGAAGGACCACTTTGCTCCGATCGAGTCCAGGGAGCTCTGAAATATACAACGGCAGTCCCTGTCACCTACCTTCTTTTATCACGGTCTCGGTGTCTCTGGTTTAAAAAACAAACCCACAAAATTTTAAAAAAATCTAAGTTTCATCTTTGAAAAAAGGAAAATGAAGAGCATAGCTTTACTTCTTGATGTTAATTATTTTTCTCCATGGCATCTTTCAGTCCTTTCTTGCATAAAAATCCAGGAACTATTCTATTGCATTATATGTTTATAATCTTTAGTCCTTATTTTCAAAATTCAAATTACTGGCTCATTTTAGTTTTGACCCGCTATAGCTAAGATCTCTCTTTTTTTTTTTTAAAGATTTTATTTATTTATTTGAGAGAGAGAATGAGAGAGATAGCATGAGAGGGAAGAGGGTCAGAGGGAGAAGCAGACTCCCTGCTGAGCAGGGAGCCCGATGTGGGACTCGAGCCCAGGACTCCAGGATCATGACCTGAGCCGAAGGCAGTCGTTTAACCAACTGAGCCACCCAGGCGCCCTAGCTAAGATCTCTTAAAGGAAGTACTTTACAACCAGGTGAGAAAGGTAACCATGATGGAGATTAGGATTTTGAGAGTGTGGTTCTCTGATCAAATCATAGCTAGTTAAAATGCTGACTTTAACTTTTATTTTAAAAAATACCTAAGCGCAATGGCAACTTACATATGAAAAATAGTTTGAAGATAAAATTTCAGTTAATATTTCTACCTCAAAGTTTTTAAAAATGCTAATCTTAGAATATACAATTTGGCAACTTTCAAAGTTTGCTCTCTACCTTTATTATCAGCATAACATTTAAAATATGCAAACAGTAATTTTATAAATTAACACATTGAATCAGACAAAATATCCAACGGACATTCAATTTTTAACCAGAGACAAAATACTATATTAAAAACCTCACATTTCAGGAATTCTCATTCATTACTGAAAGGGATGGAAAAAGGCATAACCACTTCGGAAGACAGTTTGGTGGTTTCTTAGAAAACTAAACATACTCTTACAATATGATCCAACAATCATCCTCCTTAGTATTTACCCAAAGAAACTTAAAACTCTGTCCACATAAAAACCTACACACAGATGTTTATAGCAGCTTTATTCATAATTGCCAAAACTTGGAAGCAATCAAGATGCTTTTTGGTAGGTGAATGGATAAACATTAGCTCGTCCAGACAATGTAATATTATCAGTGCCAAGAGGAAATGAACTATCAAGACATGAAAATATCTTAAATGCATATTACTAAGTGAGAGAAGCCAATCTAAAAGGCTAAATACTGTATGATTCCAACGGTATATGACATTCTGAAAAAAGCAAAACTATGGAGAGAGTAAAAAGTTCAATGGTTGCCAGGGGTTGGGGGTCGGGGATGAAAATTCTCATATAATGATGGATACATGTCATTAAACATTTGTCCAAACCAGTATAATGTATGACACCAGAACTGAACCCTAATGTAAACTTTGGATTTGGGATGATTATGATGTGTCGATGTAGGTTCCTCCGTTGTAACAAATGTACCACTCTGGTGGAGAATACTAATAATGGGAGCGGCTATGCATGTGTGGGGGGCTGTAGGTATATGGAAAATCTCTATTTTCCTCCTAATTTTGTTGTGAACCTAAAATTGCTCCAAAAATAATAAGGTCCTGGGGCGCCTGGGTGGCTTAGCCAGTTAAGCGTCTGCCTTCAGCTCAGGTCATTATCCCAGGGTCCTGGGATCGAGCACAGCATTGAGCCCTGCTTTGAGCCCGGCATCAGGCTCCTGCTCAGCGGGGAGCTTGTTTCTCCCTCTGCCCCTACACGCCCCCCCCACCCCCGCCGGCCGCTTGTGATCTCTCTCTCTCTGTCTTTCAAATACATAAATAAAATCTTAAAAAAACAATAAGGTCTTTAAAAAAGCTCACATTTTCTCAAATACACATTTCAATTTTTTCTTGTTATCTAATTTTTTGTGTTCTCAAGGGTTAGAGTTTTTTTGATCTTTAATGAACACTTTCAAATAGGTAAAAAATTTCAAAAAATAGTAGGATGAACACTTATATACCCACCACCTTGATTTTTTTCATTTGAAAGTAAATGTAAACTTCATGACACTTCACCCCAAAATACTCAATATAATCCTGCTAAGAATAGGAAATGTTCCTACATAATCATGATACTATTACACCTAAAAAAATGACCAATATTTTCCAACATTAATATGGAGTTTATATTCACATTTTCTCAATTGCTCTTAAAATACTTTTTTATATTTTTCCCTCAGTCAATCATTAGAATACAAAAACAGCTGGAATTGACCATATAGGTAGGTCTGATTTCTTTTTTATTCAGGATATTTTTATATTATCACATTTAAACTAATGTGTGCCAAAAAGCACATGAAAAGATGCTCAATATCACTAATCATTAGGGAAATGCATGCCACCTTACACCTGTCAGATGGGCTACTATCAAAAAGACAAGAAATAACAAGTGTTGGTGAGAATGTGGAGAAAGGGACTCTTGTGCATCACTGATGGGAATGTCAATTGGCGCAGCCACTATGGAAAACAATATTGAGTTTTCTCAAAAAATTAAAAATAGAAATACCATGTGATCCAATAATTCCACTACTGGCTATTTACCCCAAGAAAATGAAAACACTAATTTGAAAAGATATATGCACCCCTATATTTATTACAGCATTATAATAATAACCAAATTACAGAAGTAACTTAAGTGTCTATCAATAAATAAATGGATAAAGTAGAGGGGGTATATATGCATACAATGGAATATTATTCAGCTATAAAAAAAATGAGATCTTGCCATTTATGACATGTATAGACCTAGAAAGTATTATGCTAAAAGGAATAACTCAGAGAAAGACAAATATCATGTAATTTGGGAATTTACATTCATATGGAATCTAAAAACCAGAGCAAACAAGCAAGCAAGCAAGAACAGAAACAGAATTATAAATACAGAGAACAAACTAGTGGTTTCCAGCAGGGCGGGGTTGGGGGTATGGGGAAAATAGGTGAAAGGGATTAAGAGATATAAACTTCCAGTTATGAAATAAAGAAGTCACAGGGATGAGAAGTACAGCATAAGAAATAGAATCAATAATATTGTAATAATGATTATTATGGGGTGCCTACGTGGCTTAGTCGGTTAAGTATCCAACTCTTTTTTTTTTTAAAGATTTTATTTATTTGACAGAGAGACACAGCAAGAGAGGGACCACAAGCAGGGGGAGTGGGAGAGGGAGAAGCAGGCTTCTGCAGAGCAGGGAGCCCGATGCGGGGCTCGATCCCAGGACCCTGGGATCATGACCTGAGCCGAAGGCAGACGCTTAACCATCTGAGCCACCCAGGCACCCTAAGTATCCAACTCTTGATTTCAGCTCAGGTCATGATCTCAAGGTCGTGAGTTTGAGACTGATGTCAGACTCCATGCTGGGCATGGAGCTTGCTTAAGATTCTCTCTCTCTCTTCCTCTGCCCCCCACTCTCTGGCTCTCCTTCAATAATAATAAGAAGAAGAATATTGTAATAATGTTGTATGGTGACAGGTGGTGACTATACTTAATGTGACGAGCATAGTGTAATGCATAGAATTGTCAAATCATTATGTTGTACCCCTGAAACGAATATAACATTGTATGGCAACTCTACTTTAATAAAAAATAAACTAATGTGTAAAACCAGAATTTCAATGTAGTGATCTCAAATGAGAAATATAATAATGAAGTTCAGCAACTCATAACCATTTGCCAAATTCACTTCATATGCTTGGAATTTAAACAAAGGAGTTAGTTAATTTGAATTTTTAGATAAACTGCCATCTGCAAAACAGTGCCAACTACCATCAGGATGACTCCAATCTTTCTTGCCTCAGGACTGTGCATAGGTGGATCTTCCTTCTTAATAATTTGAATGTGCTCACTTTGCTCTGTCCCAACTGTCACTA